CCCCAAAACCCCAAAACCCCAAAACCCCAAAACCCCATTTCTAAAATACAAAATGAGATCGATTTATAATTATATATTTTCATTCTAACATGAAGTTATCGTATGAGAAGGAGGAATCCAAAAATTTCTATGCAAGAGGGAGCTCTAAGCCTTTATATGCAACTAAGATAAATCTACCACACAGTAAATTTTCTAGGAATCAGAAATAATCAGCCTAACTTAGGTGATTCGAATTCTGTTGTTATCGACTCTTCAAAAGCATTCCCTCTTCAAATCAAGAGAATTCAGCATAAACTAAGAAACTTTTCAAAGGAGAAACTCCAGAAGATGGGTAAGATTAACTTGCCAAAGAATGGTTTCAAGTTAAAACTTAAAAAGGATGGCAATATTCCTTGAAAACTATTCGATCGGTCTGAGTCTTTAGAAAACAATAGAAGGAATTCAGACTCGGCTAGTATATTTAATATTACCTTTGGTAATTTCAAAATTACTCCAAAGCAGCAAACTAATAATGTGCCTCTGTTTTGTAAGGGAAAGAACTTCAACTCAGAAGGCATTCTCCCTCCCAACTTTGCATTGGAAGATGTGTTCCTTAAGTACGAGCTTAATAACAAAAAGGGGCCTATGCCGGAAGCACTTATAGGCAATAAGGAAAGCAACGGAACAAAATGTTCAAGGAATAACCAACAATATGTACGATATTTTCATACTTCTGATGGAGCAAGAAAGCATAATAATCCTAATCCGAACCCTTATCGGGACTCTCAGCCATACCTGCAACAAGACGTGAGTATGAATTCTCAGAATAGCTTGCAAATGTATCGGAGTCATTTAGAAAATTCTACCATCAATTCTGAGGTAAGAGCAAGATCTTGACCTGAAGAAGACTCTCCGTTCTTCATTAAGAGACGAATTCGTTCGTCAAATCCTCATTCTCGAGTGAAACGTAAGGTTCATCCAGTGATCAGTAAACATTTCTTTAAGAAGCAGATGTCAAGACATGGCAACCGTAACAAACTGTTGATCCAGGAAGATGGAGAGAGTTCATCTGAGAAGCTCCAGTCTAAAGCTGCTAGGATCAAGAACATCTGTAATACAGACTCTAAGGATCAGAAGAAGGCAGGGAAGTTGCCTAATAATCTATACTTGGGGGATAATAAAGCTAAGCTTGACACATTTTCAAATTACTGATATATCGATGACCCCAAGCAGCCTTCAGCAAAGGATTATATAAGTTAATTGAATTCTTAATAATTTCAAGCGAAGTTCGACTGAATGGGGTTTTGGGGTTTTGGGGTTTTGGGGTTTTGGGG